TGATAGCAGTGTTCCAATATCTCAGGGGCTGCCACAAAGAAGAGGGAGTCAAGCTATTCTCCAAAGCGCCTGAAGGCAGGACAAGAAGCAACGGGTAGAAACTAATCAAGGAGAGAAGCAACCTAGAACTAAGGAGAAACTTCCTGACAGTTAGAACAATTAACCAGTGGAACAACCTGCCTCCAGAAGCGGTGAATGCTCCAACACTGGAGGTTTTTAAGAAGAGACTGGATAGCCATATGTCCGAAATGGTATAGGGTTTCCTGCCTGAGCAGGGCGTTGGACTAGATGACCTCCAAGGTCCCTTCCAACTTTACTATTTATATTATGATGATGATGATGATGATGATGATGATGATGATGATGATGATGATGATGATGATGATGTCTATACTTGGCCAAGGATGTTCATTAGGTAACTTTGGAGTGAGAGTTGCTGACCTTGTCAGGATGTGAAAGTAAAAACTGGGGACTCGTATGTGCATCAATTTGAACTATCAAAGAAAAAGTGAGATTCACATTCCAGATACATAGGAATTCTATAAATGCCTCACTTTGATGTCTCTCAGTCTGCAGAAGTTTAGTCCAACTCACTAGTTGCACCTGTAAAGAATCATTTCTTTTTTATTGGTTGTTAAAAAACTTTTTTTCTCTTAAAATAACCAGGTTTCAAATGAAAACTTAGGTTAATGCACACAGTCTATTAGAAAGAGCTTACATCCTTATGAAAGATTACTTTTCTATGTAAAGAACATGTAAGGAAAACATGTTACTTATCCAGTAAAATTGTTTATGGCTTGATAGTATGGACCAAGAACCAGTAACCTATCATTAATAAGTTATGGAGAATATAATGTATGTTATGCTTAGGAACTACTAATTGAACATGACTTAGTTATATTAATTGTAAGTATTATGCCCAACCCTCTTCACTTTTCTCCTTATCTGTCCAGATACGATAATCAGGCCCAGATATGTCTGACAGTGTTTTTGGTGAGAGTGGAATTTGTAGGATAGTAATTAAGTAAAATATGTTTGCCTTGAATATCTAATGGAAATTTAATTGTAGCGCAATGTAGTAGGGTCATGAAAGTTAAATTACTAAATCCCCTTCACCAATAATAGTAAATGTAAGTGAACTATAGTACACATTCTGAAATATATAAAGCCTGAACTTGCATCACAATGACCTGTTGTTATAGCAGTCGTTAATTATTTTGGAAATAAATTGTAAACATTTGACTTAATTTCCCATTATTTTTATAGCGATTGAAATACTTAACTTGGATTGTCTTGATGTGTCTATATCCGGCCTACCTGAACTATACATTTTGGGGGTTCGGTTTTTGCTATATGAATAATTGAATGGATTGTTTTTTCAGTAATAACTTCAATGTGCATTTGAAAGTGTATGGTTTCAGTGGTGGGGAAGTAAGTTTAATGGAGAAATTTAGGGTGGCAGATGGGTGTAGTGGAGAAGAGAGACAGCAAAACATGGAAGAAAGTCATAATAAAAGGATATATTTGAGGCCAAAAAAGGGGAAAATAGAATAAAACACTGTTTTTGTAGAGCTAAGGTGAAATATATTGGGAGAAGGAAGTTTTGCCAATGTATGTGCCCTGTTGTAATGCTGTTCTGCTGCATTTTTGTTATAAAGCAGGATTTGGATCAGAGTTTATAGTATTTGAAAGAGGGAGATCAACTGCTTGCCTGCTATTCCTTTTATTTTAGTTAAGAAGCTACAGGTACCACAATTGAGCCCAAAATTTCTGTTGCTAAGCGAGACAGTTGTGAATTTTGCCCCATTTTACGACCTTTCTTGCTACAGTTGTTAAGTGAATCACTGCAGGTGTTATTAGACAAGTTATTAAGTGAATCTGGCTTCCCCATTGACTTCGCTTGTCAGAAGGTCACAAAAAGTTATCACATGACCCCAGGACACTGCAACTGTCATAAATATGAGTTAGTTGCCAAGCGTCTGAATTTTGATCACATGAACATGGGGATGCTGCAACAGTTGTGTGAAAAACGGTCATAAGTCACTTTTTTTCAGTGCCATTGTAACTTTGAATGGTCACTAAATGAACTGGGGACTACCTGTATATCTTTTTTTCCCCAATAACTTCATTGCT